AGGAGCAATATATTCAGACTAAATAAAAAAAAAAAAAAAAAAAAAAATCTGGGACAAATTTGGATAAAGAACTGTGTATAGAGTATATGTATTTCGGACATCTTTGGGGAGCAATTCGGCTGTGCGCCGTTACCTAGGACATTTCGCATAACTTTTGCAAGCGCTTCTCTTGTTCCAAACTAACGGCAAAGTTAAGCGATGGATCACTGGGCGAAACATCCCATGGGATATCTCTTGAACTCAACTTCAGGATAGATTGCGTTACTGCTCCCTGGACAGCTCTAGGCGATTAGGTTGAATCTCTCAGTAGCGCGTGTACCATGGATCGCTCTTTGCAGTATTGATGCAAAGAGCACAGAGGGGGGTGTGTGGGGGGGGGGTTGGTTCCACGATAAAAGCTACTATTTAAATATATATTTTTCACGACCAAAAATTTTCAGTAATTAGAAAATAAATTTTTTCTTAAAAAAAATAAAGGGCAAAAATTTCCTCCAATATATTTTTCGATTCTATTTGAAAAAAAGAGAGAAAATCGGATATATATATATATATATATATATATATATATATAGAGAGAGAGAGAGAGAGAGAGAGAGAGAGAGAGAGAGAGAGAGAGAGAGAGAGAGAGGGATGAGGGCAAAGAGGATGGGGATGTGCCTTAATGGAGTCAACAAACAAAAGTGAATCGATTTGAAATAATGGCACGCAGGCGAGCGAGAGCTTGTGAGCTGGCGCGCGCGACAAATAAAAGCACTCAGCGTGAGCGGCTTTTCCTTATACAACTGTCAGACGTCTTAACACCCCTATTGCTACGTCCGACTCTCGTGAAGCTCCAAAAGCTTCATCAACACCGATCTTCCAAGTACTCTATAGTTGAGCTTACAGTGCTTGCACTGTTCACCTAGATTTTTTCCTCTCTCTCCCCCCCCCACCCCCCTTCTTTCTACCCTTTCCGAGTTAAAAGCTTTATGGAACTCATTTTCGTTAACGTTGTGGCCAAAGTGTCCTTTCACGTTAGCTTTCAAAACCAGTTTTCAGAGACGCTATACACAGAATACATCTCAAAAGAGACATTTTTATTATTTCTCACTTAAAATTTCATTTCCCTTTTTTTTTATATATATTATATAAATGACAATCTTATGATTCGAAATATATATATAAGAAAACTTCGTAAGTAGCCTAGTGGTTAGCCTTCTTGACATTCGTTACAAAGGTTGAGAGTTCAAATCCCAGTAGGATTATAGATTTTTTTCGGAATAAAAATTTCAATACACAAAAATACCTCGTAAAATCAAACATCATGATTATTCCCCAAATTTCAATTTCATAATTTTCAAGACATCGAAATTCTTATTATCGAAATAATAAGATAATAATTGTCACATAATTTTTATATTGCGAAATAGCATTTTATATAATTTTTTTTTCTTCCATGGAGTAGTATAAGAAGACCGAACGACATACATTGAAAGTGGACCAAATTTTGGTAACCGCTTAGTGTCATGAAAATACGTAATGGAACACAAGCGCTCTCGTGGAAAGTATATGTAAACAGTGGGAAAAATTAGAAGTACGTTGAACATAACCCAAAAATAAATTGTTTCTTATTTTTAAAACTTTTACAATGGCTGACTGTCCAGCTGAGTTTATCACAATCAGTGGCGCTAGTGTTCCATTACGTATTTTCATGACACTAATGGCGCACTCACACCTTTTTTGGCTGCCTGCCTGCCTGCAGGTTACCATGGCAACGCACGAGTGTGAGTGAGACAGAAAATTTGAATATTCAAATTTTTAAATTTTCTGTCGCACTCACTCTCATGCGTTGCCATGGTAACCTGCAGGCAGCCAAAAAGGTGTGAGAGCGCCTTAAGCGGTTACCAAAATTTGGTCCACTTTTAACGCAGATTCGTTCGGTCTTCTTATACTACTCCTAAATTTTGTTTTGCTGATATATAATTTTTCATAATCTTTTTTTTTTTATAATAGTCACTGTACATAAATTCCCTTTTTCGAATTTTCAAATAACTTATATAGAAATTTCATTTCATCTAAAATATCACGTCTTAGTTTTTAAAAATAAAAATTATGTTAAAAGGTAATTTGATTATTTAAAAATAAGAATAAATGATTATTTGAAAAAATAAAAATTGTGTTAAACGTTATTTCGAAATATAAAAATTATGTGAAATGACATTTCAAAAACATGCAAATTATATTAAATGGCGATTAATATGAATGAATTTTAGGTTATATGTAATTATTCGGAAAATTAATAATTGTGACAAATAACAATTCGGAAGAATGAAATTTATGCTAAAGAAATTTTCGGCAAAATAAATATTATGTCAGTAGATAATTCGATTATTTAAAAATTAGAATAAATGATTATTCGAAAAAATAAAAATTATATGAAATGGTATTTTTGGAATATAAAAATTATGTGAAATGACATTTCAATGTGTTGAAAATTATGAAATTGAAATTTGGGGAATAATCATGCGTTCCAATCAAACAGTTAAAAGAATATAAAAAAAGAAATAAAAATTGATTATTAAAATTAATATCAAATAATAATAATTATATAGACAGAGAAAGAGATATGTCAGCAAGCAATTGATTTGTTAAATTGAAGTAAATTTCAACAAAGGACCAAATACCAAACGTAATTTAGGACAAATTATTTATAAAGCGCCTAATATGTTCGTTTGTATGTGGAAGGGAGAAGGATCGGGAATTCAGAGTTCGAACAAACAATCGGCTAATGATATGTAAATATGGCGTAGCTAATCAAGCGGCTGTGCCAACAGGAGGAGATGAGTACTGAGGCGTGTGAGTTCGATCCCTGATGCATTTATGTTACACGCACACGCACTCATCTACCACGTGTACATATTTAATGGCTGCACGTTAATTGCGCCCTGTTTGCCCATTCCAAATTCTACCTTCGTCCCTCTCTCCCTCTCTCTCACTCTCTCGTCCTCATCTATACTTCGCGGTGCAGTTTGATTTTAATCAATTCACCTCGAGGACTCAATAATTTGAACCCTATGCGTCTCGTCATGCGAGAGATTATTATACATATATATATATATATAAACTATTTGTGAAAACACTGATCAATCTAAAGAGCAGTTTCTTTACAACCGAAAAAAAATTAATTACTCGAAAAGATTGCAATTTTTATCTCAATAGAAAATAACGATTAATTAATTAAATGTTCTGTTGAAATAATTATACACACAATAATATTGTTCAAGGTGAGGTGAAATGGCAAAAATTAATTTAAAATTGAAAAAAATTCTCATCATATTGTAAAAACGAAAAATATTGACATAAATATGCATATTATGCTCAGATTAATTATATTTAATTGATTATTATTATATTATTATTATTAATTACTATTTATAAATTATTATTATTAATTATTATTTATAAATTATTATTATTATTAATTAATAATTAATTACTAATAATAATTTATAAATTTAATATAATTGAAAAAAATCCTCTCCTTGTAAAAAAAAAAGAAAAATATTGTCATAAAAATAAATGTATTTTATATTATTATTATCAATTACTTTAATTATTATATTAAACTCATATTATTAATTATTATTTATAAATTTAATGTAATAATTTATAATTACAAATACAAGCATGCCCACTTACATTTTTATATGTAAATTTTTTTTTCGTTTTTTCTCCTTTTTTTTACAATAAGGTTAGAATTTTTTTTCAATTGCAATAATATAAAATTAATTTTATTAAAGAAAATAATAATAATAAATAAAATTAACTAATGTTAAAATAGAAGTAAAATCATCATAGTAATTATAAAAATACTAAGCAAACTATACATACATTGTTATGTATACGAAAATAGTAATACAACATAACCTATAAAATGCTCATGCAAAAAATGATAAAATATTCATAAACTACTCACCACTTGAGAATTTCCCCATTGGAAATGTTGTTTCCTCAACTTGAACAACATTTAACATCATAATATCATAAAGCAAATACGACAATAAGAATATTTTAGTCGAAATAATAAAAAAACACTGGCTATGCTTGACAATGTTTTTCATCATAACACTCGCGATTGAATTAAATGAAAAAAAACTTTTACCAATAACGGAAAATTAAACTTATTCACATTTCACGATAAATTATTTACTGTATTCCTCATTAAAGTTGAATATTTATCAAGAAAGAAAGGCGAATGATTCAAACTAACGTGCATGCGCAAAATTTTCATCAACACTGTGACTGCCGGAATTCACCCTCTTGCAAAGTCAACGCATGCGCATGGCGCATGAAAAAAAAATTAGATTCAACCGTTACGTACAACTAATGGAAATAAAAAAATGCGCTTTTCACTTTTATCACTAACCAAAAATTTATATACTCACGTATTTGTCAATTATTTCTGAATCGCACGATATATTTTATTTGATACATTTCGATATGTAAAATATTAAACTTTGATGAAAACCGGAGAGAACACAATGTTCGCGCCTGTCCACAACGACGCCATATTGGAATAGGTGGGAAGTAGGTGGCGCTAGTTGTCACTTCTAGAATTGTTGTGCGCGGGAAAGCTGATAAAAAAAAAAATGTTAACAATGACAGGTACATAAGTGGTTATAATAGTTACAGTGAAAATCACATCATATACTTAAAATTTGTTATCGTAAACAAACATAATTCAGATTTCGATATATTTAAACTGATCTTCACGATTGGAAACATAAACATCATATGATAAAGGGAATTAAAATACTTTTGTGATGACTATTTTACTCGCAAAGGACAAGATCATTAAATTTAATATAGTGCATTTCTTCTTCTTAATAAAAAGGTAAAAAATTAATCCTCTTTTAAAAATAATAATTTACATAATTTAAGGTTAATAATTTCTAAATTGTGTCTCTATTAACAAAGTTTGTGACAAACTGCTACAATAACATAACCTCAATAATTTCATAACAAAATAAAATCTTTTTTTTTAAATAAACTAGAAAAGATTTTCTTTATTTATTAGCGAATGTAATATTAAACAGATTTTAACATATTTTAAATACGTTTAAAGTAAAAAAAAAAATGTTTTAAAACTTATAAAGTGGATTCTCCTTTTAAGAGCAAATCCATATAAGCTCCGGAGATTAAACAATCCTTGGTAATTCCCAATTTATCCATTAAATTGTTGCTAATTTTTTCTCCATGTTCGATACTTTCGTCATCAGCCAAGACCACCTGAAAAATAAAGAAAATATGTTACAATTTTGATTTTTTTTTTTATCTATTATGTTTTTTTTTATTTTGAGCTGAATCAAAAAAAAAAAGAAAACTAACCTCGAGTTCCATAAATGATCCTAACCCTTTCACTTGATCAACGTGTATACGAGTTTGGCCCACCATATATAAAAGTCTTGTTTTTTCAACAATTCCCAAAGTACCATATGCAGTCGTAAGAATCTTTTCGATACCTTTGCAAGCATCAGGTGTCAAAAATGTCTTCTCAAAATCAGAGAGTTTTGGTCCTTCCATATCTGGACGATTGTAAAAAATAAGTTCTCCACTTCCATCCTAAAATTAATTCATTTTTATTGAGAATATTAAAAAATTTCTTAATTTAATAACTAATATGAAAATATAAACAGTAAATTTCAATGTTCTTTTCATTTTGAGGTTATGTTATTGTAAACAAACAATTTTTTTTTTGCTATTGCTTTAAATACATATATTAAAATTCTAAATTATAATAAAAGAATTATATACTATTAGTTATAAAAATAAACATAGATATTAAATGTTTTGACTTACTTGAAAATTTCGAAGTTTTAATCTGCCCGGTTTGTCTTTAGGCAAATTGAAAAAAATATCTCTCTGTGGAATAACAGTTTCTTTAGTATCAGTGATTTCTTTTACTTTAGCTAAAAACTCTTCTGGGTTTTTAACTTTTGCTTTAATCTCTATATTTCTCATATTTTTAATTGATAATAAACGATAAGAAAAATTTGCAAATTTTTTAACGCAACTACGTTTACTGCTTAAAATGAAAATGAAATTAAACATGTGTAAACATGTGACATTAAAAATTTCCGCAAGGGAACTTTTCATAAACTTCTTTAATAAGATTTTGATAAATTACCTAAATTTCATTTGAAATTGAAATATTTCACACTCTAAATTGCGCGTGCGTAAAATTTGAAAATTCAAAGAAAGTTTATTACGTTTATATCTTAATCTGATAAAAAAAAATATTTTATTTACAATTTTTATATCAACTATTCTTCTTTTCCTATACATATTAAATAAAATTTATTGTTTACTAAATAAACGAATAACAAATACTCTAAATAAAATATTTAGAGTAATAAATATGGCCTTTATAAAAATATTTTATTAAACTTTAAAATATACATTTATATGTTATATATATTAACGATATATATATATGAAGAATACAATTTTTATTAGTAAAAATTGTTATAAAAAAATTAAAATTAAAATGACACGTTTTGCAAAAGCCATGCTTTTATGATTGAATTATTATAGATTGTTCAATTTTTCTCGTAAATTCTCAAAAATAAATTAAATCCATGATATGTTAAGTACTAAGCATGAATATATTTTTATAAATTGACGATAATTTTTTTTAACTATTGCACATTTGTTTGGCGCAATGATGTGGAAATTGAACTCCTTTCAACAGTAAATTTGCGCATTCCTGAAACAAATATATTAAAAAATTATTTTATCAATTTTTAAAAATTTTTGATTTAATTATATTTTTCAATTTCATCAATAATATACTTAATGATAAAATTATTTTTAAATGTTATATTAAAGTATTTTATTTAATTATATTTATTAATATTTTAATATTAAATTTAAGCTAATCAATATTTTTTTTTCCCGAATATAAATAATTAAATATTTAATTTGTATTTATCATAAAAGTATGACGACATAAATTCCATTTTCTCGCATCAAGATAAAATTTATTCTCTGAATTGATAAATACTTTAAAAAAACTAAAAATTAGCCAATAAAAATTGATTAATTAGTAAATAATTAATTAAATTAAAAATTGGATATTCCTTTAAAAATTTAATTAAAAATAATTTCAAAAGAAACAAAAAGAAAAAAAAAATTTTTTTAATGTAAATTTAACATTGAATTCTAAATAAAAATGTGATTGAATATTGATTTTATTTTATAAAGTTTTATGTAATCCAATGATTACAAAAAGTTGATAAATTTTGAGATGAAGTAATCTAATGTATTATTCAGTATGTATCCGATTTCCCAACCGTGTTTATTAATATCTGAAATTATTTTCATTTATATATAAGCGATAATATAAAAAAAAACAGTAAAAATTCTAAAATAAATTTTTTTACAGTTTTGTTCTCGATTTTAAGCTATTACCTATATTCCTCAAAGTAAATACTAAAAATAGGAAATAAAAAATGATAAAAGTTTATCAAACGAAGGCTAAATTTCAAATTATATTATTATATTACAAAAACAAAATTTATATTTATTAATTAATTTACTATTTACAATTTATTTATTAATTACTAATAATTAATAATAAAATATAAAATTTCAATAATTAATTTAAAATAATTAATAAGAAATAAATTTTTATTTTCACATTAATTTTTTTACAGTGAAAATTTTTAAAGAATTAAAAAATAAATTTTACATCACTAATATCTTTAAAAATAAAAATGTTCCAGTTTCAAGTTGATGATAAATGTGTTTACAATTTTGCCCCACCCTTTTTTGCCCATATAGTTAAAGTCAGAGTCGAAGTTATACTTACATCAAGTCCACTAATAAACGCAGTGAGACAGTGCACAACAACATAGAATGGTGCTAAGAAAAATGCCACAATAAATGAAATAAATACTAAGACGAGTAGCCAAAAAATACAAATAATTGGATTACTGCAGGCCATTGTTAATAATGTTTCCTTTTCTCTTTTTTCACTCCTAAAAAAAACAATAAGGTAAATATTTTACAAATAGAAATCGTGACTCAATTTACAACAAGAAACCTCTTACTGACTCTTTACACTAGCATTCCTTTTCTCTCAACTCCCACTATAACGTGTTTTCACCCACCAGATGTGGCTCTTCTTTTAAGAAGAGGGAGAGATAAACTTTAAGGAGAGGGAAAACGTTAATGATGCTACGGATGCTATACCTTAAGTTACAAATGTCAACTTATCAAATTGTCATTTAAAAAACATTTAAAAACTGTCATCATTTCTATATGGCAACAGTTTTTTGTTTAAATTCATTATTTTTTGTTTTAATTTTAAATTTTCTAAATTCTTTTTTTTTGATTTGATTTTACAATTTATGAATAAAAATTTATTAAATATCTGACACTATTATTAACAATTTGATAATATTATTTATTGCTAATCACTGCCAAGTAGTTAATCAGTAAACTTTTCTTTTTAACTAAATAATTATATGTTATTATCTGTAATAATAATAATAATAATTAGTTAAAAAGAAATATTTACTACCTGTAGCAATAGAATTTCCTATTTATTAATCACATATATTTTTAGTTGAGAAATAATTCTAATGGAAATTTTTAAGCTCAACATTTACATACAACAAAAAATGATTAATAAGCTGCGTCGCATAATTTTACATTTCTTGATAATATATTCATCAGGTGATAAGAAGATTTATCAGTCTCTTGATATTTGATAAACAAACTTTGTTGCAGTAAAACAAATTCTCAAATTACTTTTGAACATTTGAATTTTTCACTTGGAAATTGTTTTTTAAAAAAAAAGAATTTCTTTCGTTTTTTATAACGAATTTCACCGAATTTATTCTGTTGATAGTTTGGAAACGATGTTTGGGATTAACTTTTGGTATTTATTAAAATCACAACAGAACTTCTTGGATCATTTTTTTAAAATAAGAAAAACATTTTTTATAATGTAAATTTGTGAACAAGTTTCTTTTTTATTGTATACTATAAAAATTGTATATACTATAATAAAAGTAAAATAGTTTCTGACTATTTTTAAAGCTGAGTAAAAGATATGATTAAGGTCATATTGACATAATTGTGATGACATCACCTATCGAAACATAAATTCTTGACATTCAATCTTAATAAGATTTTATTTTTTTTTAAATAATAATGTTTTTCAACTATATTTAATTTCTTATTATTATACAATTTTCATAATTCGAGAAAATTGATCCAAGAAATTCCGTATTAAAAAAAACTCCCAACTTTTTTTTTTTATAAGTTTTAACTTAAATTTATTGAATATTATAAATATTCTAAAAATCTTTCCTTGGTTTTATAATAGTAAAGCTCAAGTGTTAAAAAAATAAGATACGACTTATATAGTACGACTAATTTGAAATCTCGGTTAAAAACATGGAAGTCAATTTTGTTGGATTCACAAAAAAAAAGAAGTCTGAACTCTTTTTTTTTGTGTTTTTGTTTTATAACCGTGATTTGTCATCTTTAACCGAAATTTTCACTGAAAGCGTGTGTATAGCAATAATAATTACTATTATAGTAACTAATAATGTTATTAAATATTTTTATACATGTACATATTATTTCTATTTATAATAATAACCATTTCAAGTTCAGTATTAGGTATGATATTAGTATCTAACAGTCACAAAGATTTTATGTAAGTAGACAAGTCTTTTTGCTCGGGCTGTCTGAATGAGACAACAGGTTTTTCTTTTCTTTTTTTTTTTTTTAGTGTCGCTCCTTAAAGAGAACAGTATTGTTATAAACTTTTTCCCTACGAAAAAAATTTCGCCTTAGAGCAATATTATTATTATTTTTTTTTTTATCATATTCTAGTAGTCTAGTTTTAGCTGCATTATTCTATAATGAATACCTCTGGCAATCGACTATTTACTTATTCACTAGAATACTTTCGAACTCACGTGTTTTTTGCTAATACCAATATTATAAATTCACAATTATTGGATGCATTAACACCTGGATTTTAAAAATCGAGAGACGATTTTAATTACCAAATTTTTTTTTTAATGTTCAATTTCGTTTCACATTTACTTCTTTTTAATGAGAAAAAATTTTTTTTTTTTAATTCTTTTTTTGATACTAGAAAATTTTGTTGAAAAAAAGTATTTTTGGTCTCTCGCTCATTTACAAAAAAAACTCCCAAATAATTTTTGGAGTTAAAAATCATTTTTTCAATGAGGAACTTTATATAATATGGTTAAAAAATAGCACCGAATTTTTTTTTTTTTTTTTTTTTATCAAATCGACTTTCTCGTTCCTTGCGTATATGTATTTATGAAAAAAAAATAAATCACTTGAATTAAATAAACCCACTTGTAAAATCGCTTTAAAAATGTTTAGTACAATGACAATTAACTGTTTACATTAGTGAAAAATGGATTTTTTTTGTATACCTCCGATGAGTACAATGACTATTTCTAAAATATTGCATTATGTAAAAAACAGGCACTTGACGTATGTTTCATTTAAAAACTGCTTTAATTGCCACATGCACATTATATAATAATATAATAATAATAATATAATAATAATAATATAATAATAATATAATAATAATAATGTATAACAAGAACAAAAATCTATATTTATCAATATATCGATCATAATTAGCGTTTCAATGCTGCGGAGCATACTGTTTTATAAATTAGACTCGGCAAAAGTCCATGGTTAAAATTTCGTACTTTTTATTCATATCCCGACAATATATATGTATATATAAAAAAATTTGGGACTTTTACATTATGCAATTGTTTCGCGAAAGAAATTTCCCAAAAAAAAAAATTTGCGTTTTTCACATTCTCAAAATAGAACAATCAATCCAATCCTTTCAATTTTTATTATTCGAGAATTCAAAAGATTTTATTTTACACTCAAATAAAACTTCAATATTACATTGAATTTCAAAAATAGAACTCAAAACTCATTGAATTCAATTTATTAAAAAATTGTTTTTAATATTTATAATAATTAATAAGTAAATTATTTCGCGATTCAATTCAACAAAATTTTTTTTTTTGTAATATTTCAGTCCCCAAAATATGAAATGAAATACACTTCTTAGAAAAATGGACTAGGAAACATCAAAAAGTGAAATATAAAATACAAAGATCAGAAATCTTTTTTTTCACTTCTTTGTTTTTTTAGATAACCAGTAAGAAAATCGTGTAAAAAATACGCCTTATTGGAACATCGTATTTGAGATTTTTTTTATGTTTAGTAGAAAAATCGTCGAATATCGAGTACGAAATTAAATTGACTATATATATATATATATATATTTATATAAATACAAATTCGCCATCCAGGCAAATTTTCAATGCTTCTTTTTTTTTCTTTTGAAAAATTGCAGAGCATTTAAAAAGCACTGTAGATTACGAATTCGTTGACTTTTAAGACACCGAATCGACTGCTACAACACCAAAAGAATCCATTTACATAAAATCTTTGGTGATATGATTTTTTTTTTTAAGCTTAGACCCATTGATCTGTAATAGATATCTAACACTGTTACATTTCGTTAAACAGCTACTTAGTCATCGTTCATTTTGTTTTTTTTTCCATTTTTTGTGGTTTTTACATAATTTTTTGATTTCCTCTAGTACGAGCGTCCATGGCTCGAACCTGTTCATTTTTTTTTTTTTTTTTTTTTTTTTTTTTTGTGAAATGCACCAAATTATCGCAAATTTCCCTGACACTTTTTATTGGAACTATCAACCCACACTGTCTCCCATTACTTCGGTTACTGCTTTCAATTTTTCCTCACCCTCTTCAATTTCTGTTTCTGGTTCACTCTCCGCATCAACAAAATCCTAATGATAGAATTTATAGATTTTTAACATGATTTTTTGTGAGAAATTTCTTAAATTCATATTTTTCAAAAAAATATCAATTTCCATTATGAAATAAATTATTATTTTTTTTATTCCATGAATTTAATTAAAAATCCGATTAACTTGATATTTATTTAACAAAAAATAAAATAAAAAAGAATGAAAATATTTACGTCTATTAAATATATCAATATGAAATTATTAAAATGTATTAAAACAATTTTTTCTTACATCTTTGTTAGCTTTTTCACTGCAACTTTCTCCCTTAGGTTCATTATCTGTAGAAAAAAGATATTTTTGTAATATCTACCATTTTTTTTCCTCCCAGATCAACATTTTCAAGAAATTACCATTTTTTTTACGCGTGTCATGAAATAAAGAGAAGTTTTGTTTTTCTTAAAATTCAAATTAAAATAATAAACTCACCAATTTCTGTTTGTGTGTGAATGTTAGATGTTGACGTTACTAAATTTTCTTCTCGCTGTGCTTTATTATCCATTGAGTGAATCTTTTCTCGACTTCTGCGCAATTCTTTTCGTAAATTCTCTCGTTCATCTTCTCTGTCTTTTACAATTCTCTGCAAAATTTAAATTTTCATTAATCATATCATTTAAATTCAAATTCACTTTATTAATATCTAATTTAAATTCAAAATTTATTTCACTTATAATTTCAATTCTAATTCATTTGATTACATATTCATTTAGTTAAAAATCTAAATGAAAATTAATTATTTAATGGAAACAAAAAGACATTTTATTAATTATTCACATGAAATGAAATTTGAATTATTAAATTTAAATTCACAGTCGACTTACAAGAAGCTCTGTAAGCTGAGTGTTAAGAGTCGTGCAAATTGGTTGTAAATCTGAAACTGGTACGGTTCGTTGTTGAATTTGTGGCTCAACACGAGACGTGGAACAACTCGTTGCTTCGCAATCTGCGGATGCTGTTGCTGATGAAGCTGAAGCTCCCTTAGCAGCGAGAACAATTTCCGATTCACTGACATTCAACGCCGAATTTAACATTTCTACTAATTGATTTGCTGTAAAAATAATTCATCTCAGTTAAAAAAATTATTTTTATTCTGAAATTGATTTTTATCAAAAATTAATTTTTTTTTTTTGGAATTAAAATTAAACTATCAAAACAATAATAAAATAAATTGCGAAAAGATTCGTTTAATAAACACACCTTGGTTAATAGCAGCAAGAATCAGTTCAGCAGGCTCTTTCTCGAGTTCAGATGGCTCTGACGCAATATCTGCGACATGCTCAAAATCTTCTCGAGATAGGTTTAACATATCGGCAACCAAAGCTTGCTTTTCGGTTAGAGCTCGCTTGATTGCTTTATCCTTGCGTCTCAATTTTTCTGCAGCAGAAATAACACGAATTGCATATTAATTCATTTTCACTTTTAGCAATGTATTTCATGCTAAATAATAAACTAAAATTCTTTTATTTATTGATTTATATTAATCAAAAAAAAAAAAAAAAAAAAAAAAAAAAAAAATGAAACAAGCTTAAACAAATTTAAAGAAAATTTCAAAATTTTTATTTAAAGAAACATAGTTTTGATTATTATATTTTAAAATTGAAAAGTAAGATGAAACAAGAAGAGAAAAACACAGAACAAAAGGTAGACACAAACACAACAAGAACAAAATAAATAATATAAATTGTCACATTTCACGTTCACGGAGACAAAAACTATTTTAACGAATTATAAATTTACATAAATGAATTTAAATATAATTTTATTATATTGCTAATGAATTAATAGTAAGGGTTAATTTTCTTTAATTTCCCTGAATTTAAAAAAACAGTTATATTTTTAATTTGAAAGAGAAAATAAATTATAAAATCACAACTTCTGAATTTGGCAAACTTTTTGTCTTCGTGAAAACAAAAACAAAGAAATAGAATAAGATAGTCGAGAATCAGAGAAGAATGAAGCCGCCATTGACAGGATGCATAAAATAAAGAAAAGAGCGTTAGTGCATAGATGAAAAATTGTTGATTTCCTTCTGAAATAGAAACTCACCAATCGGCGTGATGACTTCTTCTGCAAAAAGAACAATTGGCTCTTCAATATGAACCTCATCTGGCTCTATAAGGGAACATTGTGTACAGGTAACAATTCGCAATGTATCTCCAATACCTATATTCACGAATTAATAAAATTGTCTTATCGAAATTTCCCATTAAATATGACAAAAAAAAAAAACAAAAAAAAACTTGACAATCAAGGAACGCATGATTAAATTGCCCAAAAAATGTATTAGTTCCAAATTTTCTAGTGGAATACTGTAGAATTTTTTATTTCACCAAAATTTTGTTCTTTATTTTCAATTATTATTCTTCTCTTTTTTTAAGACAATTTTTATTAAATAAAATTTTAATTTAACGCAATTTATAAATTTATTAATAATTCAATTTTAAGCCAAGATTATTTATTTTTAAATTGAATTTCATTTATCATTTAATCTAATTAAATAAAAATTCGATCTTCTGAATTTCGAAACACTGAAAATTCGTAACAATAATTTTTAGGGAATATTCATGTGTTCCCGAAATTCGTCATTAAAATCAAAAATTAATTAAACAAAATCTAACTAAAAATACTAAAAAAAAAAAAAGAAGAAGAAAATTTCTACTAACCTGGTGAATGTGTTTCAGTTTTCGGCTGTTGAGGTTTCTCGCTCGTCTCGGTAGTTATAGGCGCATCCGGCGTTTCCTCTTCCTCCTTTGGATTCGTACGCGTCGTCGATGTTGCCACCGCTTCTTCAGTCGATTCCTTCGATTCCTTTTCATGATCCGATTTCTCTCCAATCACTTCATTTTCCTGTGCCGATGGTTCTTCCGAAAGTGGTGTTATTTCCTGCGCTATCGTTGCCGATGGTGTTGGTCTTCTACCTTCTCTATCCTTAATTTTATAAGCTTCAACTGTATCGGAAATATGTTTAAACCAAAGTTTTCTCTCAGCTTGCGACGATGCGACTAGTTCATAAATTTGTGCTCCATTATGCGATGTATTAACAAGATAAATTGAATTATGATCGACTGCATTGTGCCTGACAAGTACTGTCGAAATTTTCACAATTGGACTCAAAACTGTACTTGGTTGACTATTGACTAATTTCAATAGATATTTTTCATCTTGCCTTTGTAATAGAACAATAATATCGTCAAGCAAAACAACATGTAAATCAACAAGTTTTGCACGATTAACAATTCTCCATTGTAATGGTCCCTCAAAAATGAGGCGTCGTTTTGTAAAATCGAGATTTTTAAATTCCTGCACTGTTGGATTATCGGTGAATTTATCAAATGCTGATTTATCAATGATACGTTGAAATTCAGAAAGACGTTGATAATCCTCGGCCTCTTTAACAGTTTGATTAACGCGACTAAGTATTTCTTTACTACGCTCGAGACTGCGTATAATTGCACTCCTTTCTTTTTCATTACTCTCGGCTGTATATTTGGCTAAATTCTCAAAGAGAAGAGGATATTTGGTTAACCTGAGCATTCCCGTGAGAATATGATCCTTGAGTTGAAGTCTTCGACAAAGTGGATTTGCCTCCACTTCATTAAGAAAACTATTGAGTTTTGGATCTTTACGACGTCGATCGCGTAAAGCATCGAGTGCAACTTGTTGTTTTGCGCAATAAATTGATGCGGCACGTTCAAATGCATCGCCTGCATCGCCATCAAACATTTCCAATAATAAATCACCCACTTCCTCAACACAGGGATTCTCCTTTTTCTTTCGTTTCATTGCCTGATTGAAACTCGAATGAATTGTCACCATTTCATCTAAATTGGAAAACAAAAGATGTATTTGATCTACGGGAAGTACTTGCGATTCCAATAGTGGTTTATGGAAGACTTGCGAAAGAACTTTCAACGCTCGCACGTGTGATCGTTCCGTATGGAATAATTCTGTAAAGAAAAAGAAATTTAAACATTGATTTTAAATACAAGAAAAAATAATTTGTGAAATTGTTGAATTTTACCGTTAATAACTTCTTGTCTCTTCTTTTCTGAATTACTAAGACGTGCCAATACTTCATCGGCAACTCCCTGACTCCAGTCTGGAGGATCTGGCTCGACGTCAACATCGCTGTCCCAGGAAGTCGATGTATTTGATGCCGAGGTCGTAGGAACTTGTTCCAGACTTGTGCTTGGACTGTCTAAGCTTCTCGTCGATAAACTACTATTCGAAGAACTACCCGCTGAATTTCCAGGAAAAGCTCCAGTTGTGTCGCAATCACTAAAATCAAATTAACAAATTAAATTTCAAATAAATCATTATCATTAAACAATTTAGAATTCATTTCTAAATTTTTTTTTAATTAAAATATTAAAATTTAAAAAAAAACTTTTTACATTTTTTTTTTGCAATATAATAATAAAAATCGTTATTTACGTCACAGAGCACACATAAAACGGTAAAAAAAAACGAAATTAACATATTTTTATTTTTTGATCTTAATACCTTTCGGATCTGGTACGTCGATCTATTACTGTCAAATTCGCGGGTGATTTGATATTATTTGTTGATTCATGAAAATGTTCTCTAACTTGGGGAGAACACTTTTTAACAATACCGTTTGATTGTTCAAATGACTGTGTGTGAGTATTAATGGTGTCTTCAGTATTAGAACGACCAAATCGTGAAAAACTTTGTTGCCTCATTCCTTTCAACATTACCCTTAATACTTTGGTTGGTTTCTAGTGTCAAGTCAACACGCACTTGCCATTTAGGGCTTTTTTTTTTTATTTTTATAAGAGTTCATTGGTTTCACTCGTGTTATTATTATTAAACACTTCTCACAAAACAAAACGTTTACTCAATCACTATTTGTTCTCGGTTGATTTCTTTTCCCAAGTCCTTTTAATTAAAATAATAATTACAATTATTTTTTAATTATTAGTTAATATTTAGCAAAATAATCGAAATTATACAATGAAAAAATGATTTTATGAAAAATGAAGTTTATAAAAAATAAATTTAAGGAACAATATTTTTGAATAAATTATTTTTTATCCTTGAACTAAAAAAAAAACAGTTAATGATCAATCATTCTTTACAGTATAGTCATTCAATGGGAACAAGACAATTATTTTTTCTATTTGTGAATTATTATTATTATTTTTTTAATCGGTTTCAATACAAGAACAATAGGTCGAATGTAAAATTGAGAATATTGAGCCTTCGGGGAAAAATACAAAGGTTACCTGCGCGACAAAATTAAAGTGGGATACACGAGAATTGACATTTTCCACAATCTTCATAACAGTACCCATACAACTTTGAGAAAAATAAATTTTTAAAAATAGAGAACAAGGTCAAGAATAATATTTTTTTAAAAAAAAGTTTCACATTCATACAAACAATTAATTTAATTCAATTTCAGTCTAATTTCGAATAATTTAAACTATTTTTTTTATGTCCCTTCTCGAAAAAGTGAACAAGAAGCGAAAAAAAAGTTGCTCTTGAAAAAAAAATCGCAATTTCCTCGCCGTAAGAAAGTTTAAATCACTTTCGTCTATCTACTGTAAAATCAAGAGCGCGATTTCTTCGTGAATTGAAAATAAAGAACTTGGTCTCTCATTGACAAGAATCGGGTTAAGCTTTATCCATTGCCGCTCCTTCATCACTTTAATCAACCCTCTGCACCTATATGTATAGTGATCTATATTACTTTCCACGTGCATGTGACGCGGCATCAATAGCCGCAAGTGACTTGCTTTCATGGATCGTTGCATTTCTATTTAGCTGTCTGCATTTTCATTCACGCCCGTTATAATAATAATAATACGGTCTGGAGTCTGAGACGATGTTGGTTATATTATTGATTCGAGTCTCTATTGATTGCTGACGGAAAAAAAAATATATATATTACTAGTCTAAGAACACAACCCCTTATTTATAGACAATAGAATATATTATCTTGTCTAAAGTAAATTTCATTCCTTTCTTTCAAAAAAATTTATTTTCAAATCAAAAAATATTTTTAAAAAATCCCCTTTTCTTTCAACCCCTTCTTTGTTTTTAATCATTTATGATAAAGAAACCCAAGCGAGAATAAACTTCAGAATCGATCCACAAAACTGACGTCACGCACGTGTTCCAAATTTAATTAAACGCGCGAGAAATAACGCTTGTCGCAACCCTCCGTGAGTACCACCCCCTCCCAAGCTTTCAATGGAAAATTTTCCAAACTTTTGAAGCATCCTTATATGTATATATAGAAGAAAACTTTTTTTTTTTTTATTGCAAATCTTCAATTCATTTCATTTAATATGAAAATTTTTTAACGTCACTTTTTTATTTTTTAAGCGTAAATTAAATAAATATAAAAATTGAAAAAATGTACGATTTTAAATAGTAACTTATTTACAAATCTAACAATTTGCTAAACAAATTCAAAATTTTTTTCTAAATATAAAAATTTGAAAAGAATTAGAAATTCCACTAATATCATAACAAAAAAGTTAATTTTATTTAAATGATTTACAATAATCTGTATTTAGTTAATAAAATGTATTAATATTTGAAAGTTTAACCCAAAAATGAAGGATTTATTAGGCATTTGAAAATACCAACAAACAATAAATATCCCAACATTTTAAGATCTCTCGGCAATTTTTCAAGTTTTCGATAATAATGTTATCTAAAAATAAAGCAAGTGTCATCGAATAGTAAAAGTTACTAAATCACGATTTTTGAAATAAGCTATGAAATAAATTTTTCTTTTTAAATACCGGAATTAATATTTATTTCTACATAAATGTCTCTAACCATCAAAAGTTATATTTAATGTTAATAAATTTAGATCCAATTGTAAAAAAAATCCATTTATTTAAAAACAAAAAAATAAATAAAGGCAATTATTTTGTTCCCCCTTTTAATGAAAATAAATTTAATTTCAATTACAAATTCGAATATTCTATGTACACACGAAATGAAATTAATTCCAAGAATAATAATTTCTAATTTCTCCGTTCTAATTTCATGTGAATGAAAAGTTTAACACATATATTACTAAGAAAACTAATAACCATTAATAATTGGATTGTCCTCGTTTTTATGCAATTCAATATGAGACGATTGGAAATTTTTTTTATACACTTCCTATTAAGTGATCGAAATTGAAAATGTCATTGAATTTTAATTATGAGATAAAACAAATATTTATATAAATTGTACATCTTCCCAGGGGAAACATTATATTATCATTTTTATTAAATGAACGATGCAATTATCTTTTTTATTCGCGAGATAATTCGTTCAACTATTTACATTTCTACGGATGTAAACGAGGCAACGTTCACACGAAGCCTCTCCCTATTTGACAAGTTGCACACAATCACACGACAAGTATACTTAAAAATTTTCCCAAGTCCACTTCACAAAACTTCCAACCGTATCTAATAGAAAAAGTTTCCGTTTTTGTCCCAACACAAATTAAAATCGTCCCTCTCGTATCAAATTCCACAATAAAAATCCATTAATTAGTAAATTAATTAATTAGTATGGAAATTAATAAATTGACAAATAAAATAATTGATAAATAATTAATTCAATGAAAAGTTATTTAAAAAAAAATTAATAAAGAATTTTTTCATTAACCTTTTGAGAAAAATTACTGGAAAAATAAATTAATTAAATAATCGATAAATTACTTAATCGACAAAGAAATTGGTTAAATAATAAATAAAATTAATTTCTTTTAATAAGAGAGTATTTTTTTTGGGGGGGGGGGGGGGACAGAAGCTAAACATTAAACTCATTGACAATAAAAAATAAAGATTACAGGGAAGATAATTAGTTCATAAATTGTTGAAGATTAATCTGCGAGCTACGTTTCTGATACTTGTCAATTAAGGGGACTTTTAAAATTTGCCAATATTCTCTTCCCTCAACTATAATACAATCCCAAGAAATGAATGACAAAACGAGCGATGAGCCTTTATATATTAATTGGGCCAAAGCGCAGACGCCTTAAATAGTATTTTCAAATATCAAGAGAGAAATTTTCCTGTTTCTACTACTGTTGATAATCCTTCTTAAAATATCATTTTGAAAAAAAAACTCCATGAAATGTTGATTTAGATTTGAAAGAATCAAAACAGCCAGTCGATCAAAAAGTTTTTGAAATCACATTTGAGAAATGTGTCTTTGGAAAAGGCAAAATAAAACTATTTGCCAAAAATACGGGATATTAATGTTGAAGACGCACATCTCTCTCTCACTCTCTTTCGTTATTAATGAATTAAAAAAAAAAAAAGCAGAGACGCAGTATAAATGTATAGACTAAATAGCATTTTAAATTTACAGATGTTACGATTACGTATATGACGTGAACACACATACACATTTATTCTGAGTTTATTTATTCAAAGACAAAGTCAAAGATGTGGACACACAAATACACACACCACACTGTTCGGTGCATTAAACTTGTTCAGACATTCAGACACGGGCCGGAATTGCGAATGAGGCTTTTCAGACACTCGCACAAAACTTGACGAGTCAAAAGAAATCCCATAGAGCTTAAAAGTCTTTGAAAGACAAAAAAACAGAAAAATACAGACAAAAAAAACTTTCAAGATCCCCTGAGAACTAAATTTCTTCAAATTGACTTTCATTTTCGAAAACAGGACCCTTCTTGCAATAGAGATGAAATTAAAAAAAAAAAAGTATTTATTAATTGAATTTTTAAAAAATCCCTTAAATTTCAAAATAAAGACTCAATAACTTCGAAAGGAAAAATTTTAAAGAAAAGAAGAATTAACAAAGATTTAATGAAAAAAAATTTCTAAAAACGCTTGACAATATCTAGTTTTAACAAATGATTCTAAAATGTCAGAAATAATTTATCATTCGTTGCAAAATTTTTGGCAAAGCACTGATTAAACCCAGAAATAAACGTTTTTGGCGGCAAAAATATTCATAATTTTCCAACAATGTTTTTTAATGTTTTCCGTCACGATTTAATGGAATTAAGAATTACACGCATTTCAAGTAGAAACTAAAAGAAAAATCATTTTCATTTTATTGCCGACACACTTCTTGTCGTAACTGAAATAAAAAAAAAACTGCCCACAAATTCTAATTATCAAAAAATTTCAAATTAATAAATGTAACTAATTAGATAAATAGAATAGAAAAACTAAAAAAAGAAAAATAGAAAATGAAATTACTAAAAAAAAATAGACAAGTAAAATAAATACAAAAATTTATAAAATACTTTAATTTGACTTTAAAAAAAAAAAAAAAAAAAGAAAATAAATACGAATTTTGAAGAAGGGGGCCGGCAATTGAAAATAGTGAAAATTAAAAATAAAGAAAAAATAAAATGTTAATGAAAAAAGAATTGAGAAAAAAAAGGGACAACACCTATCATCGTTTGTTGCTTCACAAGGGATTGGCCGGTAATGTTTACGTGTTGGCGGTTACATTGATAAAATAACGTAATTACGAATTGTTGCGTCTATGTCCGCGAAATTCAACGTTTAACGTCACACTGAAGTCGGTAGCTATACACCTTTTATAAATGATTCTAGATTCAAGCCTGCGCTGTTTTCCCCGCAACTACACACGTTCTTACATTCACAATATTCAATGTAGCTTCTGCCAAAAAAATCTATAGCTAACATTTTTTGAAGGTCGTGGTCATCCAGAGGAAGAAGCCTGCGTAAAGGATCCTCTAGGCTTATATCCTCTTTCATGTTCCCTTTCCTTCAATTACAATCAACTTCTATATATATATATGATGATGAAATGGTCCTTAAAATCTATTTTTATGCTATTTTTTTCTGTGACGCAAGTTACGATTCTCCAAACCCCCTGAATAGGACATCAATTCTAGGGTTTGATTACATCAATCGTTTTACAAAAAAAATAAATAAAATATCAAAATACTAATGGAATTATAAAAAAAAAATACGAAAATAATTATACAATTATTACTAATATCAAAAAATAAAATAAAATACTCACTTTGTTTTGGATAGATTTGGATCACTGGTTTTTCGCTTTTCCCGTACTTGTCTCTGCAAACAAAATTACCATTATTATAAATTGTTAATTTTTCAAAATTAATTTATTTAAATTTTGTTAATAAATAAATGGAGTCTATAAAAAAAAACTGTAAATATTGTCAATTTAAAATAATAATTATTGTCAAGAAATAAATAACGAGAACTAAAAACATAAAAAAAAAGAATTTTTTTCGAAATACCATTAATTAAAACCTCAATTAACTGAAAGTATGTATAAATTAATTGGAGAAAATAATTAATAACTATTATTAATTATAAACGATCGTTATTTAAAATAACCATTATATTATCGAGAAGTAATATTTTCATTTCAATTAAAAATGATTTGTCGCCAAATATTTTATATTCAATGAGAAAATTTTCAAACAATTGGAAATTTCACCATCATGAAGATTTTATTATCGAAAAAATTTTAATAATATAAATAAAAAATGAACATTAAAAAAAAGGAAATAAATACGAGAATATGAAGGATTTTTATTATAAAGTAAAATGATTGTTAATTATAAAATAAGGATTAAATCGCAAAAAAATTAAAATTAAAAATCTATTTGCAGAGATTTTTACCTTGTGATGTATCCGCTCCTTGTAACTTTCAGACCTGTTTATGTTTGACGTCTTTGGCTTACTGGATATATGTTGTTGCACCCTAAGTAATCGTAATTAACATTAATTTCTCAAAAAAAAAAAAAACATAAATCAAGCAACTAGCAATAATAACAAAATATTTGACAATTATGGGAAAAATTAATTATTCTAATTATGCAATAATAGAAATACATTTTACTATTAAATCAATATTATTCTTTAAATAATATAATTAAAATTCATCTATTAGCAACAAATTTATCTAGTAATAATTTACCAAAAAAATATGTTGCATATAAGAGTTGAAAATTAATTTATTATAATAAAATAAAATATAACGAAATATAGTTATTTTGCCTTCAAGCAAACATTATGAATGAAATAAATACTAGAAAATCTAAATAGCACCTACGCATCCAACAGAAACATATAATAATTTTATCACTTTCATGCGATTGTATGAGCGATTAATGTGTCGTTGCGGAAGTTTGTGACGGGTTTCATTTAACTTTTCGGCAATATCGATATAAGACAAAAATTTACAAAAACTAAAACTTTTTCAAAAATAATAATAAATTATAATTTAAATAATTCTTTTTAAATCTTCAATTCAAATCCTTGTTAAATTTCAAGTAAAATCGATTTTACATAAAGAAAGACGAAGAGTGACAAACCTTTTCATTGAAAACTTGTCAAAAAAGTTTTTGATGAATCATTGTACAAAAAAAACTAATTGAAATAATCCAAGATTAAATTTAGAGTCTAGAGGTGAAAATAACCACCGTTATCTTTAATCAAAAACTTTGAAAAGCGTCTCGTGAAATTCTTCAGTGGAGGCCAAATTCATAAATATATCGCGTAAGGAGATGAATAAGATTTCCTCAAAGATCACATCTCTCTCTCTCTCTCTGGCAGTCAAATTAGAAATCTGTTTGTTAAATCAGTATTTTGTGAATCAGAATTCCACAAACTAAATCACAAGTTCGTTTGTTTGTTTCCGAATAACTGATTAATTTATTTTCTAAAAATAATTGACGAGTGACATTTCTTAAGATGATTAAGAATCATTCATTTAGAAAATTTTTCATCTTTTTTTAAATTCTTCAAAATTTACCGATTTTAAACATAACAAAAAAAAGTTTACATTTTTTTTTTATTATTATCAACGAATTATGTCACTCTTCAACATTTTTCAAATTTTTTATATATTCATGTTTCTGTTGGATGTTTATCTGTGGTTTTCTTAAATTTTTATTAGTGATATCTTCAATAGAACCCCGAAATAAGGAAATTGGAAAAACATACATTTCGGAAATGTCCTCCCTCGAGGAAGGATCGTCCATACTATCAGCGTGATCACTACCTCCGCCATAAGCGGAAACGCGTCCCCTTTCGCTGCTACTGCGTGTACTTCCGGTTGCGCCGCCTCCACGATGATCTCCTGAAAAAGTAAATAAACTAATTAATTACGAAATCGAGCTTATTGCCTGACCAAGGTCTTGCAAAGTCAAAGTGTTTAAAAATTACCTCATAACCTAATTCTAAAAGTAGAAAATACTTTATTTCATTTTGACAATTGTAAAATAATCAAATAACAAAAATAGAGTAAAAAATAGTTAAAAATAAAATATAAAATTTTTTTTCAAATTTAGTAAAATTTAAATAATTATAAAATTGTTTTTTAATTTTCTTTTTATAATTTATTGAATTATGACCAAAGCTTTCGATTATTACTTATTATTATAATAATTTTCAAAAATTCGCAGGGTAAAAAAAACTGTAATTTTCATTTTTTTTCAATTGTTAATTATTTTTAGTTATTTCTGTTTTAAATTTATTTAATAATCGAGAATGTAAATTTTTTTTAAATAAGCTTTTTAATAGAATAAATGTTGGGGAAAAAAATGAAAATTCTACGAAGGATATCGCAATGATTAAAGGAGGTAGAAACTGTTTAAATTTCCGGTGGACAATCTGATAAGACAGACGACGTACTATTGTTGGCTTAAGGATATAGAGCCTTCTTCCAAGTACAAAGACTATCTGTTCCTACGATAATAAAAGATGTATGAGACGATCGATTTTTAGGGAGGTTTGCGAATTTAAATTGAAATAGAAAGACATCTGGCCTCCAGCTTCTAGACGTTTCTTTTTTTTTATATATCTGAGGAGAAGTGAACTTTCTTGTTTCTTCAATCGTATATATATATACATAGAGAGAGAGAGAAAAAAAACCTTTACAGAAAAATCTTTTTCCTTTGCAGACATTCTTCAATATTGCCAAATAAAAAAATAAATCACTTCGAAATTTTCAATAAATCATTTGAATAATTTAAATTTCATTTTTCTCTTCAAATCAATTTTTTTTGTATTGGGAACATTTTTACAACTTTTTATATTTTCTCCCTGTTTAATAGAAATAATAATTTTTATTATTATTATTAAAAAGTAAAGTTTTCAGAATATTCAGTGCTTTCTCTTAACAGAAATTCTTGAGGAGAGAATAAAGTGATGAATTCGAGTTCAAAAGATATAAAAAAAAGATGTATCTTAAAACGAAAAGAATGTTTAAGTTATATCAAGTATAATTCTCATATAACCACAATTGTATCCAATATTCCAGTGAAAGATTCTCACGAATTAATAGTTGCTTTGTTAAGAAAACTGTAACAATGCTAATTAATTATCTATCTTTTAAAAATAATTAATGGCTAATTACTCAAACATTTTTTGCCACAAGTCAATTACACATTTAAAAAATTCGTAAATTTTTTTTTCTTTGTACTGACAATTCTAAATCGAGAATTAATTTTAATTAGTTAATTAGATTTTAATTTAGTAATTATTAATTATAATAACAATAATAATAATTACTATTATTATTATTTTTTTGAATTATAATATTTTCAATTTCTCACTAAGTTAGTGAACATAAAAAATTCAACGTTTAATTAAAGGAGGAACGAAACTAACGCAACTTTATTTACTGAAGGGAAAATGTTCCGCAGGATAAAAAATCGAAGTAAAAAGTTTTTTTTTTCTTTAGTTTTCGAAAGAAAAATAGAGTAACGTGAATTTCCGTTCCAACTTGTTAAAAAAAAAAAAAAAAAAAACAGAGTAATACGAAGAATTTTTTTTTTTCATTCTAAAGTCATGATAAAAATAAAAAGAAAAAAAAATTCTTATTTTTAGCTTTCGAAACAAAAGCAAAGCATGAACAAACTGGTTACTTAATTTTACCATATTGTAAAGGAAACTTGTCTTTGTCATTTAAATCGATCTTGCGCATAGTAATTTTATTATTCTATTCAAATAGAATCGAAGTTTGGATATTTTTATATATATATATACACTGTTGTCAAACGTACAAAAATTAAAACAAATTAATGTCTTCATATTGAACAAAAAAAAAGATAACTTTAATTGAAAAAAAGATACGAAAAATTAAAGATAATTTTCCAATAAATATACAATGACGAGATTAAAATGTCCACCAGTCGAGAGAATTAAACGAAAAAAAAAACGCGCAAAATCTGAGATAAAAATTTTTTCATGAAAATATATGTATAATATAAATCTATAGTGAGAGAGAGAGAGTTAATATAGATGTTTAAAATTTTGTTTGGAATGTTCAACTTTAATCGAGTCTTCAGTCGCAGAACTATTAGTAAAATGCCACTCGCCCTCGCAAAACCAAATTCGATATATCACAAATCAAATGTCATTCAACATTTGAATATTGGCCATTCCTCATATCTGGCCAGTTTCCAAAAAATTTCTCATCTCCAACGAGATGCAATGCTTATCAGCAATTTCGAGAGGTATATATAGAGTTAAATTGAAAAATGTCCCACACATGACAATATGTGACACACGATTGATATGCATTCAGCGAGGTAAAATCGAAATTTTCTATTTAAAACATCAAATTATTATTTTTCAAAATTCCTTTCGATAATCTATTTTTTTAAAAGGTAAAAATTAACAAAAATTAAATAAAGCTAAAAGAACCAATTTAAAAAAAAAAAATAGTAAACTTATTTTTACAAGTGATAAAAATTTTCTATTTTAATTCAATAAAAAAAAATCCAGTTAATCGGAAATTCAATTAATTGTACGGAAATTATTAAAAATTTCAAAATTCTAAAAAATCAAAAAAAAGTTACAATTTCACAATCAGTGAGATGGTGAAAAACTTTTCTAAACAGATGAAATAGATAATAAATTTCAAAATTGTAAATTATTACAGATTATCGACTCAAGTAAGAGGGGTAAAAAAAAAAATTTCTTTTTTAAGAATAACAAAACGTAAATTTACTTTGAAGACTGAAGGACAGTTTTCCCCCTTTTTTTTCATGGTTCCTAAGCCACTGTTAGATGTCTATATTATGGTAAAATGAACGTAAAATTGAATAGATGATAGATAGACGACCTAAGACGAAGCTAAGTTTAGACCACCAAGAGTTTAACATGGAGTGTGCCAGAGTATGTCGACGACAAAAAAGTTTAGGGGACGGAAAAATAAGAAGAATCACTGTATAGTCACGCGGCCCGTTCGATGTTGTCGTCGTTGTCGTCGTCGAGACGGGAAGGAGGGTCTCTTGATGGTTTCCGGCCCATAGCGACACGCGTCCATCGAGGGTCCTAAAAATACACGAATGCATGCAAGATTAGATTTTACTTGCATTTATTCGAAGAGAAAATTCTAATCTTCTATACACGACGATTAAGACACAACCTCGCAATTTTCGGAATTCGATAGTTAAAATCTCTTTTTCCCGTGCACCACTTTAATGTCAAACTACATTAAACTAAAGAATTTTTCACTTTATGTTCCCTATAAATCTTTGAAAGAGCTGTCGAGATTTTACCAAAATTAGTTAACCACTCGCTTTTACGAGTCGTGAATATTTTTTCGCCCCTTCTTCTTCTTTTTTTTTTTTTTTGTTCTTTTTGTCAACAGGTGGTTCGCGTGAACTAACACGTTAAAAAATTCTTTTATTTCAAATACCTCTCAATCTGATAATAAAATATTATTTTTATAAAATTTATCTTCAAGGAGAATCGAAAAATTAACCACACGCAATATTTTCATCTATTTTTGTCCGCAATTATTTTTTTCAATTCACCATTAATTATTTATAAAAATAAATTATTTATTATAAATAAAATAGAAAATTTAACACTTTTGCGGTTAATTTTTTATTGTTACTATATTTAAAATTCAAAAAGTAAAGTTTGTTATATTTTCCTCAAAGGAAATCAATGTTCCTGCAAACTTGACCATAGACACTAACTTGATCGTAAATTTTCTTATCTATTGATATTTATGTTGAGTGATGCAGATGGAAATCTATATTAAAATTTTGTGAAATTCCATAATGTACTCGGAAATTTCATATCGAAAAATTTTCCAATATTTTTCCACTAAAAATCATTTTGATTTTTTTCTAAAAGAAAAAAAAATATTTCCCAAATAATGAAAATTTTGTAAAAATTAAAGTTTGTATTTTTACTCGAAATGTCAGTTGAGTTCTATAAAATAAAAAAGTTATCATTAAGATGATTGCATTGGTTCAAAGCTTTTCGAAAGATTGTTATTATCATCATCAATTTTATGAATTTTATGTACGTCAAAAAATGTATAAAAGTTGAGTATTGTTAAAATTTTTTAAAAAATAAAATCCAAAAATAATAACAATTTAATAAAAATAAAAAAAACTAATAATAAAAAATAGATACATAAATAAAATTGAATTTTTAATGACAAATTTAGGTAATCACATTAGAGACATACATAAATTTCAATTTATTCGTCAGTTATCATTCAAGTAAATTGAAAGCATCTAAGTTTAGATACTTTTAAGTTTACGTGCCTTTAAACTAGAAGCGTGTGTGTATATTTATATGCTTTTAACATTTTTAAGTAGGAAATTTAATTTTAAATTAATGAACAAGATTTATGTTCACAATTTTTAGATTAGAAATTTTCAATTCTCAATTTAGAAAGAAAAACTAATTTTTTTCAAAATTAAAATTAAATTAAAAATAAAGGTAACAAATTTAATTTCTATTATTAACTTTCATTATTAACATAACATAATTTGAAAGTACTTTCATTCATTATTAAATTAACAATAGAATATAAATAATTTTATTTTTTCAAAACAATTATATTTTTATTTTAATTAAAAAAACTGTTTTAAATATTTTAATCAATTTTGTCGTTTGTTATTTATCAATATACTTCTATTGAAAACGAAAAAAAAGCAATTTTTACTATCTAAAACCTGTCGTCAATGAAAAAAAGAGAGAAAAAGCATCAATTTCAGTTTCAGAATGGTGTGTGCCTTTGAAAAGATGGCATTGAATTAAAACAAATTGATGTGGTTTCTCGTTAAATTGTAATGGAACGATTTTTCGATTCAATACGATGAAAAA